ATCACGATGAGGTGGCTGGCGCAGGCTGGTGCCAGCTGCTGTGATGAATGGCTGGGGTTTCTTTGCCATAGGATGCAGCCTCAAGCACGCTCGGTGCAAGAGTCCTTGTACTTTTGCAGCCTTGCTGTTTCATGTTTTCAATTTATGAAGCATGCAGCAAGGCAGGAAGACATCCATGATGAAAGAAGTGTGAACTGGAAAAAAGCACAAAGCTGATGGACTCCGGGAGCCTGTACGGGCATTTGCTCTCCTCCCGCCTGCACAAGCAGGAAAAGGAATGGAAAGAAAGGTGACTGTGACTTTACCTTTAAAAGAAACCCTCTGGACACCGAGTGTACTTCAAAGAAACTTCCTTCTCCAAACCATGTGGAGGCGAGCTACTGGAGGGGAAACAGCCATTCTAGGACACATCTAGCCGTCTGTTTGTTCTGTGACTTTGGACAGTTCTTCATGGTTCCTGACCCTCAGTTTTCTCATCATTACACTATAACCTTCTTTCTTTCTCTTTTCCTTTTCTTTTGTTTTTCTTTTTGGTCCCAGTACTTTGGACTTGAACTCAAGGCCTGGACCCAATCCTTTAGGTTGTTTTTTTTTTTTCTTCACTCAAGGCTGATGTTCTACCTCTTGAACCACACCTCAGTTTCCAAGTTTTCAATGGTTAACTGGAGATTTGAGTCTCATGGATTTTTCTTCCTAGACTGGCTTTGAACCATAATCCTCAAATCCCTGCCTTCTGAGTAGTTAGGATTACAAGTGTGAGCCACCAGAGCTCAGCACCATCACCTTCTTTGTAAGACTGCTGTCAGAATTAAATTATTCGATGCTGTTTTATAAATCTATGAAACTCAACAGAGTAGAGGCTTCTTACAAAGTCTCTTGTTTCCGATTAGGCTAATTAACAGCAGTGTTGATTAACTAACTGCATAGTGTAGTGCCTGAGTTTGCATTTTCAGTTTACTCACTGGGTTTTGTTGTTATTGTTTTGGTTTTGATGGGGTTTTTTTTTGTTAATTTGAGCAAGTTACTTAATTTCTCTGAACTGGGGCATTTACCTTTGTAAGGTAAAGATGAGAAAAATACCTCATGATGACATGCTTTAAGAAAGTACCAAAAGCCAGGCACAGTAATCCTAGCTACTTTGAAGGTGGAGGTAGGAAGATCATGGTTTGAGGCTAGTAAGACAAATGCACAAACTCTTATTGCACAAATAAACTAAAGCAAAAGAAAGGGCTAGGAACATGACATAAGTGTAGAGCACTTGTCTAACAAGCATAAGGTGCTGAGTTCAATCCTCAGTACCAAGAAAGAAAAGGAAGAGGAGGGGAGGGGAGGGAGATGTGGGGAGGGAGGCAAAACAAATCTAACATGGCACGCAGCATGGACAGAGGGAGGAAGGACCTAACACAGCACCCAGCACAGAACAAAGGTACTTATTGTTTGTTTCAATGCTGTGGTTCTCAACCCACATTTAACTTACATGAGAGTTTTTTCATGAGTGAATACTTGGGTCTGCCCCCTCCCCACTGCACCCCTTCTCCCCCTTCCCCAGGATGAGTCAACAGGTCCAGGTGAGACCCAAGCCCTGGAATTTTTGAAAGCTTCCCAAAGAGATACTTACAAGCAGCCAGGGCTGAGAACTACTCCTGAGCAGATGACATTACATACTTGTTTGTTTTTCAGTTTGAGGTTTTTAAATATATCTGTCCCTAAGAGACTGGTCAGAATAGCAAGAATTTTAGACATCATCAAAAATTCAATACACCTGTAGCTCCTAAGCCTTTCATAAGAAATGGGCAGCCAAGGAACTGCATTCCATTTTATTCTGAAGAAAAAAAAATTATTCGGTCTTCTTTTTTAAGAGTCTTGAACTGGAAAGGTGGTAAGAAGTTTAACCTAAGCCTCACACATAAAATATGGGAACTCCCAGTAGATTAGGGATTTATATCTGGGGGTAATTCCAGGGTTTTGTCCTCCCAAGAGATATAAATTGAGGTCTTGCGAGTTTAATGTTGGGGAGGAAGAAGTGTTCTCATAATGACACGTTAAACATCAGGGCTCTTGTAATGCTGAGGGATAGAAAAGCGCCGTCCAGAGTAGCAGCGGGTGGTGTGGGAGTTGAGTCAACGCTCCCAATTTAGGTTTCCAAGCATCCAAGGCTAGGTCATTGAGAACCTTCTTTTTCCCTATAGGTTTATGGTATTAGTTACCCAATAAAAGTTGGGTTAATTTTACAACCCAAGTAAAATTTAAGCCAAAAAGAATTCCACATTGCTGTAGGATTTATGAAAGTAAACATATGGAGTGCTTGCAGGATTGGGCAACGTTGAAATTTCAATGTCTTTATGTCAGGTATCTGATATATTCATTTAGATGTGAACTGAAAGGTTAACTTAAAAAAAGAAAGAAAGAAACAAAAAGAGCTTTGCAATAGAGGCTATTTTCAAGGCTAAGCTTGAAGATCCTTTTCCCATTGCCACCTTCATATGCCTGTCCAGAAAGGGCAGAGTTGAAAGCTACAGAAAACTAGCGCCCCATAAGACATTTTTCATTTTGGTTTGCTGCCTTCCTGGACTTTCTAGACACTATACACTGAGATTCCTACACTGCAATCCCAGTGGGGAAGTACAACACCAGAGCTCAACCACAGTCTATGTTACAGAGTAAGAGCTTTTCAATAATTGCATTCTTGGATCAAATTCTTTAAAAACAAGCATATGCTATCTCTGCCATGAAAAACAGTTTTCGTAGCAGTCAGGCATGATGACATCTGATTGTGATCTAGCCACTCAAGAGGCTGAGGCTGGAGGCTTCTGAGTTGGAGGCCACTGTGGTAAACATGGTTGAGATCATGTTTTAAAATTAAATAAATAGGGTCTAGGTACTGGTGGCTCGCACCTATAATCCTAGCCATTCTGGGGGCTAAGATCTGAGGCTTGTGGTTTGAAGCCAAGCTGAGCAAGTAAGTCTATGAGCCAGATGTGGGACTATGGCTCAGGTAGTAGAGTGCCAGCAAAAAAGCTAAGGCAGAGAACTCAGGCCCTAAATTTGAGCCTCAGTAGCAGCACTAAATAAATAGGGCTAAGGGGTGTAACACAATGACAGAGAACCTGCCTAGCATGTAGGAGGCCCTGGGTCTTATCCCAAACACTCATAAATAAGTAAATAGATTTTAAATAGGATATGATAGAATCCTCATTGTTTCTACTTATAAGCATGCTAGCCAATTACTACCTTAGTTTTTTAGGTAAAACACACACCTCTGTAAGCCTAGCAATTCAGGAAGGCAAGACCTAAAGTTCTCACGTCAAAGCTAATCCAGGCAGACAAATCCACTCTTACCTTCAATTAAACAGCAACAACAATAAAAACCTGAAGGATACCTGGCATAGCACTATGTCAGAGCAAAAAAAGCCCAGTTAGAACACCAGGCCTTGAGTTCAAATCCTAGTACCAACACGCATGTGCGCATGCGTGTGCGTGTGCGGAGGCATCAATGGCTCAGGAGTTGACAGCTTACCTGAGTATATAAACACAAGAAGGGAATTTTGTTCTCCAGACTTTGAGGGGCGGTGGGGGATGTCTCTGAGGTTTTTTGGCTCAAGGTTAGCACTCTAACACTTGAGTCACAGCTTCACTTCTGGATTTTTGGTGGTTAATTGGAGATAAGAGTCTCACAGACTTTCCTGCCTGCTTGCCTGCTTTGAGCAAAAATGATCAGATCTCAGCCTTTGAGTATCTAGGATTACAGGTGTGATCTGCTGGTGCCCAGCTTCTGCTCATGTGTTTTTTTTGTTTTTTACCAGTCTTGGGGCTTGAACTCAGGGCGTGAGCACTCTACCACTTGAGCCACTCTGCCACTTCCAGCTTTTTCTAAGTAGTTTATTGGAGATAAGAGTCTCATGGACTTTCCTGCCCGGGGTTGGCTTTGAACCGCAATCCTCAGGTCTCAGCCTCCTGAGTAGCTAGGATTACAGGCATGAGCCACTGGTGCCCAGCATTCTCACCTTTCACTGAGAAGAAAGCACCCCCTTACATGGGGTGAGCAGCACTGGCACAGTGATGGCCTGCCCTGCACAGTGTTCTGGACGCCACATCTTGGGCCGATCAATGGATCCTAGGTGAGGTCACAGTATCCCAGCATCCCATGGGAGATTAAGGGTATGGGTATAGCTTCTTTCTTTCCTGTTGAATCTCAACAACTTGGATTCTGAACTCTACAGTTTCCAGTCCTGGCTATTCAGTCACTAAGCATGTCCTTGATTCCCTCTGTCTCCAAGTTCAAATCCACTTTCCTGTTACTTATTATTGTCATTTGAAGCAGCAGAATTTTAAGGAGGCTGTTTTTAAAACTTTTAGGAGGCCAAGAAGGCAAGGTTATAGTTCCTCAGTGTTTCTAGATGTCCTTGGGTTTAGTGACTCATCTAAACTCTCACCTGTGGTTTTCCCTGGCCATCTTTCCACAGGGGAGAGGTGGTAGTTGGTAACTAATGGGGGAGGGGCTGCATGATCCAGCTGCCCTCTGGCTCTTCCCAGTGGTAACTGGCTTCTTACCTTGTGCTCCCGTCCCTGTTAATTGTCATGTCAATCTGAGTAAATCGTGGGGCTAATGTACTCATGCTTTTGTAGTAAATGAAGCAGAAATAATCTGTGCTTAAAAAACAAAAACTGTACAACATGTGCCCAGATTTCCAACTCATTTCCTCTTTACTCTTACAGCTACATCATCTTCCAGCCCACCACCAGCTGCGAAAATAAAAGCGTTTTTTCCCCCATATTTCAGGATGATTTTGTGCTTCAGGATGACTTTCCGGGGGTGTAGGAAACTTGACCAATGTAACCAACAGATGTTTTAAGTGATGTTTTGGGAAACGAGCAAAAAAAAACTATATTCTTTAATATAGGGTACCCAACTGCGCCTCCTAGTGAGAGTTTGGGGTACTGCTCATAGTGGAATATGATGTCTCTGCTAACAGCTCTGCTTTGCTCTGCTTTGCTTTTAGAGATGAGTATGAAGAAGATGGATTCTGTCAGCCATACCGAGGAATTGCGTGTGCTCGATTTATTGGCAACCGTACTGTTTATATGGAGTCTTTGCACATGCAAGGGGAAATAGAAAATCAGATCACAGGTGAGTGACACCGATGAGAATTATATATTTCCCCCCAATGACTTATTCTCACACAAACTTTTACTGAGCTGCATCTCTCTTGACAAAGGATTAGGCTAAGCATGAAGGTGGAGATCAGGACAGCGAAAAAGCATAAGATGTAATCTCTGTGCTCTGGAATTAACATTAAAATAACTCATTGAAGGTTGCTCTGAGAGAAAAGGGAAGCTTTGAGAAATCTCATATTCATTCAAACACTCAATAAATATTTTGGAGTGCTTTTTGATGTGCCAGGAACTGCTGTGCACTGGGGATGCAATGGTTGGTAAATACGCCAGGTTTGTTTCTGCCCCCCTGGAGCGTACTGTGTGAAAGCAGCTTGATATGGATTGAAATGATTTTCAAGTCTAGAAGGCAGGACTCTCATTCCTGTCCTCATAGTTACCATGTCTTCGGGGAAATAGTTTACTCGGCAAGAAAATCCCATCTTTACTTGGGACCTGAGTGATGACACTGCTCATCCTACGTCTCTTCCTGCTGTGCTTTGTGTTATTTTACCATTTGTTTTCCTTATTTGAAAGTGGATTTCTTTTTAAGAAAATTTCCTAGTGTAACACCATCTAGCATGCATAAGTAAGGGAAATATAGGATATTTGGGGCCCTTTTCATAAAGAAATATGTTTATCGTGCCGTTTGCCACCTGCATTAAAGCGGCCTTCATGGGATTCTAATGCAGTGTCCAGATTCAGCAACTACAAATACAGGAGACCCTGTTACATCTAACAGAAGCAATGAGTGTGTTTTTCTTATCCTGAAATTTAAATGTAGCTCCTTATAGTTTATCTGATAACTTAAGGAACACAGAGCAGCATAAGATCCAGAACCTATATCCTCTGTGGAATTTGAAGGAACTAAGGGGCGGCAACCATTTCACCAAAAAAAGCAGCTAGGAAAGATGTCCATTGCCATTTGCTGAAGCCCTTAGTCTTTCAAGAATAATAAGACTGAAATTTCCAAGGTTCCACACAGGACTGGTGGCGAGGAGCTGTTGAAGTCACGTCTCAAGCTAAGAACATTTTAATGTGCTTTTTACTAAGAGTGCACATAATTAAATGGTGTTCTGATAAAACAAAATTTGCTAACCCAATTATAATAATCCTCTCTTCAGTCTGGTCATTCGGCACCAGCTTAGTGGAAGTACTACAGTCTTTATTTTTAGTTTAATTTTTTTAATCCATTTAGCTAGTGTTTCTCAAGCCTGATTGGCTGGGTAATCTTAGTTTCTCAAGTGCTGTGAATAGTCTACAGGATTAATATCCTAAGGAACATACTTTGGGAAACTGGGGCCAACCTCCCACACTGCTTTGGGCTGCCCATGCTCTATGTACAGATACCCTCATTGGATAACAGGCTCATAAGCTGAAGGGCCATTCATATTTCATGATATATCCTGGGACAATTGAATTGTGGTCTCTGAGAACTTCCAACTGGGCTGCCTCATTGTCAGAAGATGATGCAGAAAGTATTCAGGCCACAAAGAAATCGAGCAAGTTACCCAAAGCCATCCAGCAGCCTCTGCCATCTGGCAAGAGACAGAATTAAATGTGCTGGGTCTCAGCCACTGCCTAAAGGCAAGTTCTGCCCTGGGCTGTCTCAATGTCTCAGAAACCTCACCAAACTAATAAAAAAGGACCGGATGAAACACGAAGTTCTATTGTGTGGTAGTTTAAAAAAAAAAGAAAGAAAAGAAAAATATATTGTCCTTTAACCTAATTAATTCTTTTTTATTAGGAAATGGCACATATGTAATTTAATCCTGTTTTTTTAACTTCGTAGTCAAAATGTTTTTTGTTTGTTTGTTTTTTTTTCTCAATCCAGTGAAAGTAAAGCTGCTGAGACATCTGAACTGAATCTCCTTCACTTGGCTGTGCCTGAATCAGGCCAGCAGATTCCTTAGTGTGTTTAGATCTGATCTCTGTTGACTAGATAACTGAGCAGATAAACCCTGGCCTCCGGGAGTTAATGACTGTGTTTGCTTTGCAGCTGCCTTCACCATGATTGGCACCTCCAGTCACTTATCTGATAAGTGTTCCCAGTTTGCCATTCCTTCCCTGTGCCACTACGCCTTCCCCTACTGTGACGAGACCTCATCCATCCCCAAGCCCCGCGATTTGTGTCGGGATGAATGTGAGATCCTGGAAAATGTCCTGTGTCAAACAGAGTACATTTTTGCAAGATCCAATCCTATGATTTTGATGAGGTTAAAACTACCAAACTGTGAGGATCTTCCTCAGCCAGAGAGCCCAGAAGCTGCAAACTGTATCCGGATTGGAATTCCCATGGCAGATCCTATAAATAAAAGTAAGTGGTAGCCCTGAACTTCTTTACTGCCCTTGGGGCCTGCAACCCCTTGGCACAGGGAAGACTGGACGTTGATGCGTGGTCATTCTTCACATCGGTGCAGTTTCCATGGGAAGTCAGTCTGCCTTCCAATGGGCCACAGTGAAGATTGGTGATGGGTGGGGAAAGGTTCCCTGTATCTAGTGTAACTATTTAAAAATATAGACAATGGCTTCTCAGTAACTGCAACACAGAATTACCATGTTGTCTAGCAACTCCATTCCTGAGTATGTAAACACACACTCAAGCAAAAACTCATATAAGATTGTTCACGATCCACTATTTACAATAGTCAACAAATGGGGAATAAAATAGGAAACACACCAAATGTCCATCTATCCATAAGTGGATGAAAATCATGGTATATCCACAAAATGAAATAATATTAGCCCATTTCAAAGGAAGGAAAGGCAGATACATGCTACAGCTCAGATGAAACCTAAACATATTATAGTACATGGAAGAAGCCAAACACCTCTGCATAAATCCATGTAGGTGTAATTTCCAGACAAACCCATTGTGACTGACAGGGGTAGGTGCTAGGGAGTGTATGGGTAACGGTTGAATGGGGATGGAGCTTCATTTCAAGATGATAGAAGTTCAAGAGCCTAATAGTAATCAAGTAATGCAGGGGCAAGAAATTATGGCATATGTACTGTTGTACAGTTCACACATATATGAAACCTTGCCTACATCTTTTACCCTTTCAGCACTGCCAAACCAAAAACAGATCCTCTGCACATTATTTTTCACAAATAACCTTTTAGTTTCCTTGTTGGTGGTTAATACTATTTTATTAGTGAAACAAATGAATGCACCTGAAATGCTCAGAACTCTGCTCAGTGCATAGTAGCCATTTGATAACATTACTAATACTGTGCCCATGATTCCTGTGTTTATACTTGCAAGGGCTACTTCAGAGGACCTGCTTCTCCCAAGTGTCCAGCCCATCATCACAAAGTGCTCTTAACTCCTACTATAAGCCCAGAAAGCACTGCCCCTAATAAACATTCTCTATGAATTACCCACTAGATTCTTTATCCCATGATTCATGTCCAAGCTATCAGTCAGAATGGAGGGAAGAGTTTGGTTTGAACCTTCTTTGAACCATTCACAAGGAAATTACTCCTGGGCCCCTAGGTCCTGCCCCAGTTCCGATTTCTTCTATGCTCAATATTAAAAGCCCTTGTAGAAGACTGCTTTCATTCCTGAAGACTAAGCTTTAAATCCTCCCAGGAATGTAACTGCAAGGCAAGCCATGTGTCCTGGCCCAGCAAGCAGGGAATCTGACCAGCAGGCTAGCTTGGCCTTAAGGTGAAAGGCCTTTCCTCTCCTCCAGGAACTGCTAGCTTCCAGCACCGACATCACCTCTGTTTCTTTCTGGCAGTCTGAGTTTTTCTTTTCTTCTTTAGATCATAAGTGTTATAACAGCACAGGTGTTGACTACCGGGGAACCGTCAGTGTGACAAAATCGGGGCGCCAGTGCCAACCATGGAATTCCCAGTACCCCCACATGCACACCTTCACTGCCCTGCGCTTCCCAGAGCTGAATGGAGGCCACTCCTACTGCCGCAACCCAGGGAATCAGAAGGAAGCTCCCTGGTGCTTTACCTTGGATGAAAACTTTAAGTCTGACCTGTGTGACATCCCCGAATGTGGTGAGTAGAAGTCATTGCCTCTAAGGGACCCAGTCACATTGCAAAGTATCTCTATCCCACCGCATTCACTTCGGAGAATCCTAAAGAGAAGGTGGAACTTGATTGATGGTGTTTGCTTGATCTCTAACCGTTTCTAGAGTAGTCATAGGATTTTTTAAAGGATGACTTTGGCACCAGGGTTGAGATTAGACTCTAGGAAGGATGTCATAGCAGACCATTGGAAGCTACTGTGATCATCAAAGGGGAAGATGTGAGGATTTAATGGGAGGAGGAGGAGTAGAAGCTCGAGTCAATGGACAGATTCAGGTTATATTTTGAAACTGGAGCTAACAGGTTACTGGTGAATCCAATATGGGATATAAAAGAAGGGACTCAAGAATGACTTCAGATTGGGAACTTAGATTAACTTTTGCTGAGATGAAGAAATACATAAGGAAAGAAGTTCTGTGGGAACTGAACCAAAGAATAAATGCATTGTTCCCTCTCCTGGGCCAACAACACTGCCCTTTGGGTGACTTCTGACCCTTAGTTTTCAGCTAATGCCCTGCAGAAGTAGGTAATTTCCCTACACATTGGAAGACTTGATAATCTGATCAAATGAGTGAAGCTCTATTATAATTAGTTTAAGTAAAACTTAGGCATTATATATAAAAGGTGTTAATTTCACTTCAGTGGTCTTTCTGAAGCATTCTTAGTAAACTGATGGATGGGGGGGAAAAGCCATGAAACATTTTCAGACTGGATAGAAACAGACTGTGTACATCTACAAAACACCTATGTGTAGGTAGACACAGACAGACAGACAGATAGGTAGACAGATATAAATCTTCCATTTCACAATGAGGTGATTGGTGCTTACCATATTCATCTCCATTCAGAACTTAAAACCATGTTTTGAGCTAGTTTCAGATGTGTTTCAGAGCTAATGTGTTTAGATAAACACATTAGCTCTATTGAAGCGTAGGGCTAAAAGACTTAGATATGTAAGTGACAGAGCCATCCACCATGGGGGTAGGCCTTGAGCCCCCATCTCTCAGCATACAGCTCTGATCAAAGGGTCATGAGTTTAGCAAACATAGCTCTCATTGACAGATTCTAAAATGAATGCAAGAAAAATGTAAGAACTGCCATAGCCTCAACCTCTAGATTTCACCATGCTAGCTTCCCTTAGATAATATGATATCAAAAATATGTCTCTGACAGGTACTGGTGGCTCTCTCCTATAATCTTAGCTATTCAGGAGGCTGAGATTTGAGAAGAAAGGCTCAAAACCAGACAAATCTGTGATCTTTTTTTTATTTCCAGTTACCAGGGGAAAAAAAAGCCAGAAATGAAGGCATGGATTACACAGCAGAAGCTATTTGTAATCTAAAAAGAGTCAAGCTATACAGTGAAGCCATGAGTTCAAATATATACACGCATGCCTGAGCACACACGCATGCATGTGGACACACACACACATACACAGTTCCTTTGCTAATGAAGAAATCTATCGTATTAGTCAGTATGTTATTCATTACTATTATTATTATTGGATGAATCAGTTCAATAGTATTAGAAATGCTCAGAATATTCCTTCCTCCATACTAATCTGCCGAGAACACAGTTAAAATTTCAAGGACCAGTTAATTCCAGTCATTTGAGCAATATATTTAGATATAAGTTAAATCTAGAGATGACAGGGCAGTGTTTACCACTGAAGATTATTATTTTTTGGGGGGGTCCGGTCATAGGGCCTGAACTCTGGGCCTGGGCGCTGTCCCTCAGCTCTTCAGCTCAAGGCTAGCGCTCTACCACTTGAGCCATAGCGCCACTTCTGGCTTTTTTCTTTTTGCTTATGTGGTGCTGAGAAATCGAACCCAGGACCTCATGCATGTGAGGCAAGCACTCTACCACTGAGCCATCTTCCCAGCCCCTGAAGATTATTTTTAAAAAGAACATTTTTATTTCATTTAGAAAAAAAAAATGGTTCTTGAGTTCTTCAGGCCAAGCATCACTAAAGGGAATTCTTGACGTGTGATCTACAAGAAGCCGCTGAGAGGCCAGTGTCCGCCCTCCACCACCTCCTGCAGTGGGAAAGTGTGAGAAGAGAGCAGTTTAGTGTCTGCTCTCAGGCACTCTCAGCTTCTCAGAGTCACCCCTCAACAGCTCACCTCTGACAAAACTGCCATAGTGGAATTCTGCTTTTATAACTTCTACAGGTGTTTGGTTTCATTCTTCTCCTTTTGTGGCCGCTCAAACTGTGAGAAGTAGGAATCTGCAGTGCTATTTTATCAGTGAAGAATACCAAAGCCCTGAGCAATACTGGGACCCACTTCCCATCATCATGTAATTTAAGGCCTCCACCATGAGGACCACAGTTTTTTCCTCAGTACCATTGCTTCCCAACTAGCAGCACTGTTCCCCTCCAGGCTAACACTGGCAGTATGACACAGAAATATTGGAAAATGCCATTAGATATGTGAAACGCTGTTAAATATTCAGAACACGCAGAAAGGGATTACCCCACCCAAAGTATCTATAATGCCAGGGATGAATGACTCTTTTCTATACTACATAATTATAGACTATAAAATAACAATAATTTTAAGCAGTAATTATCATTTATTGTGTACTTATAGTAGGTCACAAATGATGCTGAGAATATTATGCATTAGTGCATGATTTTATGCCCCCATGAACAGGGTTATTTTATACCTAAGAGTGAAAAGTGCAACATAGAGAGGTTAAGTAACTAGTCCAAGGTTACATGGTTGGTAAGAAGCCAACCCAGGACTCAAACCCATAACTTGCCTTTCAAACTGTGATTTATTTATTTTTAGTTTTTTTTGTAATTATACATATATATATATATTAATTATTGTAAACACACTGTACAAAGGAGTTACAGTTATATGAGTAAGGTAATGAGTTCATTTCCTATCAAGCATTGTTACCCCCTCTTTTGTTTTTCCCTACCATCCCTTCCTTCCCCAACTCCCCAACTCTTCCCTCCCTCTCCCCCCCCCACTAGTTGTAAAGTTCATTTTCAAGATAGTGTCTTGTACATCTCATTGTTACGATGGGTCAACCTGTATCCTTATTTCAGCATTTTGTCATTTCCCTTCCCCTTCCCAGATTAGAAAAATGTATATACAAGATGCAGGACAACAGCATCAAATACCAGTGAAAACAGGGGTTATACCATGGGGGAAGAACATACAAAAGAAACAAAAAACCACATAGTGCATTATAAATACATTAAAAACAACAGCAAGAAAGATAAAACCACTTGTGTCTCTATCTTGGGGTTCATTTTGCTTAGCATCAGGTTATATGGACATATGTACATAGTTTTTTACCTTTTCTGTGGTGTAAAGTTGTCAATGTGCTGAAGGCAACAAATGCTGCCAAGAATTTTTTTTTTTTTTTGGCGGTTGTGGGCCTTGAACTCTGGGTCTGAGCGCTGTCCCTCAGCTCTTCAGCTCAAGGCTAGTGCTCTACCACTTGAGCTACAGCACCACTTCCTTTTGACCTTTTCTGTTTGTGTTAGACATATACTAGTTATTGCAAATAAGGGAAACCAAGGGACCTATGTTTCTTTGGGTCTGGCTTATTTCACTTAATATAATTTTTTTCCAAGTCTTTTCATTTCCTAACAAATGGGGTGGTGTCATTCTTTCCGATGGAGGCATAAAATTCATATATATACCATATTTTCTTGATCCATTCATCTACTGAGGGGCATCTGGGTTGGTTCCATATCTTAGATATGGTAAATAATGCTGCAATAAATATAGTTGTGCTGGTAGCTTTAGTATGGTCTTGTCTGTGGTCATTCGGGTAAATGCCCAAAAGTGGAATTGCTGGGTTATAGGGGAGCTCTATGTGGAGTCTTTTGAGGAACCTCCATACTGCTTTCCTACGTGGTTGAACAAATTTACACTCCCACCAACAATGCAGTAGGGTTCCCTTTTGGCCACATCCCCTCCACCATCTGTGTTATTACATTTCTTGATTATAGCCATTCTAACTGGGGTGAGGTAGAATCTCCATGTTGTTTTGATTTGCATTTCTTTTATGGCTAAAGAAGTTAAGCACTTCTTCGTGTGTCTATTGGCCATTCTTATTTCCTCTTCAGAGAAGTTTCTCTTTAAGTCTTTAGGCCACTTACTTATTGGGCATTTGTTTCTTTGAGGATTTGTTGTTGGAGGATTTAATTTTTTGAGTTCTAAGTATATTTTAGATATCAGACCCTGTCTGTTGTATGGCTAGTGCAGATCTTCTCCAAATCCGTGGGCTTTCTATTTATCTTGCTAGCTATGTCCTTTGCCATGCAGAAGCTCTGCAGTTTCATGCAATTCCATTTGTCCAAACTTTCTTTGATTTGTTGTTTCTTGGTCTTTATTTAAAAAAATTCGGCCTGACCCAAGGAGCCCTAGAGTTTCTCCTATCCCTTCCTGTAATGCTTTCAGGGTGTCTGCTTTGACTTCGAGGTCTTTGATCCATTTGGAGTTGATTCTGGTGTAGGGTGATATATATAAAGATCTAGCTTTAGGAAGTGTCACTGTAGCTCAAGTGGTAGAGCGCTAGCCTTGAGCTGAAGAGCTGAGGGACAGCTCTCAGGCCCAGAGTTCAAGCCCCATGACCGACCAAAAAAAAAAAAGATCTAGCTTTAGTATTCTACAGATGTTTAACCAATTTTGCCAGCAGCATTTACTGAAGAGGCTGTCTTTCTTCCATTATATTTTTTTAGCTCCTTTATGGAAGGTTAGGTGGCTATAGGTCTGTGGGTTCATTTCTGGGTCTTCAGTTCTATTCCATTGGTTGTGAGGTCTGTTCTTGTGCCAGTACCAAGCTGTTTTGATTACTATGGCTTTGGAGTAGAGTTTGAAATTTGGTGTTGATATTCCTCCAGCACTGTTCTTTCTGCTAAGGATTGTTTTTGCTATTCAGGGTTTGTAAATAGCCTTTGGAAGTATTTCCATTTTCCCAATCCAGGAGCCTGGAAGGTTTTTCCT